TTAGTAGCAATGGCTTGAAAATGCCCTGTTTTGCAGACAGCCTCCACTCTCCTCCCCATCCCAGGCATTGCCTTATTTTTCCATTTCTTTCTGCTGTTCTTTGATGATGATTTTTTCATTAGTTTCGCGCCGTTTGAGGCTGCCCTCGGACAAAGTCAATTAAGAACCAAATATTGGAAATATAGCAGATATTTTTTATGGGGGGATACAGATGAACTACAGACAGACAGACGGCCTGCCAGTCACGATGATAAATGAGAGAGCCAAGCCGAAATGCGTGCTAAATGCTATAATTGCGCCCGATCCAATGGGATTTTCTATTTCTATGCGAAAGCATTTCGAAACGCCTCGAATTAGTGGCAATTTCGGATACTTTATGGCAAAATAAAAGGCGGAAAGCCACCACAAATTTGTATTTAAGTTAACAAAAAATTATGCCATAAAAATGATTGCAATTTTTGTCCATAAATTTCATCATAATTCGGCAGTTTCCTTCTCCTGCTGTTCCCATTCCTGTCTATGAAAATAAACTCCAGTCTGGGTTATTTCTCTCTCTATATTGATCTGGGCAAAACGAAGGAAAATTGCGCAACAAAAATAAGTGTGTATCGAGGAAAAACAGAGCCAAAATAAACCCTTGAAAATATATATAAGCACTGAGACAGACCCTGAAGGACCGTCCTCCTCTTCACAGACAAAAGGTACAAGGACAGAGAGCCGAGCTGAAGAGCAGCCAGAATAATAGTCAATAAAATATTTGCACGAACCAAAAAATCATTCAAGCGCAGCCCGGTACTTTTTATTTCAATACAACGCATAGATATCCTCTTTAGAAAGGATGAACAGGGTGCCACGGGATACTCGCACTCAGCACAAAAAAAAAGTGGCCCAGGCATTGAGTCAACATTTGGAAAGCACAAAAAAGCGTTGCTCAAGTGCACCAAGCAGCAGCACATAAAGATGACAGGCAAAGAAAATTTAGCGAAAATAAATCCCAATAGATGGGTTACCGAGATCCCTCCACAGGTCCTTCCACACACACACACACACGCGCGCGCAGGGGGCGAACAAGGAAAACAATTTTCAATGTTTTTTTGCTTTCAGTTGAGGAAGCTTTATTCAATGCCGAATGCGGTGTGGAGGGGGGTTCGGGGTTCAGGCAAAAACTTACTTGAGAGACTTTTCTTTAGTCACAATAATGTTCACCCATGACTGGACAGTGGCAACAAAAAGTGTTCGACCTTTCTTGGCAGCAATAACAAAGGCAAAGGCGCGACGAGGACACACACAAAACAAAGCAGGAAATGGCTGCCAGGATATTGACAATGGCAGGCGTGGACGGGCGGTCGGATGGGGGCGTAACCCTGGCTAGCTGCTGCTGCTGCTGCTGCTGCTGTGCATCCAGCGTGAAATGCGACAACCCTGGCAGCACCCACAGCAGACACACAGGAGGATGAAAGCGAAAGAGACTTTGCTTTGGTCATTTAAAGCGCATCTTAAGCCATGGGAAAGTTTTAAATTTCTTCTTCCACTTGTGGATCGGCCAAGCCACGCCCCCTAAGCGTCAGAGCTACTTATGGGACATTTTAGTTAAATTTTATGTCGATTTCGCTTGCCTCAGATTCTTCAGCAGTTTGCCAATTTCGCTATCGGAATTGCGGTCGAACGTCGAAATGCGGAAAAAAAAGGTCAAACACATTAAATTTATAATGCGATTGAAAATGGAAATGGAAATGGAAATGGAAGGGAAAGGCAAGCCAAGGAGGAAAAGTGCCAGCAGTGTCTGTGTGTGTGTGGCTGTTCTTGAGTGTTGGAAAGTGCCTTAAGTAGGTCAGTTTGGTCTGTCATAAAATGCAATTGGAGCGCATTAAAGTGCCCCGCGACTCGCAAGTGAAATGTCAAGTTGTAAATAAGCAGGACGCACCCACCCAGTGTGGGTGTGGCAGGTCAAAGGGATACTTGGGCGCTGTCATCAAGTGTCGGACTGAGCCAAAAGGTTTGCCGTTTTGCAGCTGATAGCCCTCTGCCGAGCTGAGAGTGTGCCTTCAAGTGGAAATGGAAATGACAACAGCTTACAGCTAATGCACACAATTTCGAGGGTTTCTTAGCTGCATAAATTACAACACATCGAAGATTCCTCTCTTCGAACTTAATTAATTTACTAAAACATCTCTCCATCTGCTCTCAAAAATCATTAGAAAGTGTCGCACACTATCGACACTCTTTTTCTATTATGCAAATGGGCAAACATTTTGGCTTAAAAGCTTCTGTTATGACCACGAAAATAAGCAAAAAGCGTCTAGACGTCTGCCATGAACTCCTGTTCATGGAAGCCACTGCAACGCCCGGCAGGATTACGTGTATGATCTGGCTGCCGACTATGCCCTGGCATTGATATTCATATGCAGCCAGCTCTGCCCCTGAATGCCGTTCTATGCATGCATCTCATTAGGGGCAGGCAGAGTGGCTGGCATTTATCCTTATATGTACCTGGGGCTCTTATAAATAAGCACATAATCAGGCGACAAACGCGTTGGATTTTCCACCGGATTTGGGGCTGTTGGCTGCTGCCTCTGCCAGCATGCATAAATAAATAATTTGCAACCATTACCATAAGTTGAGCTGACATCTGTACCGGGCAGGGGCTGAGGCTGGGGCTGGCCAAAGTGTTATGACTAACTTGAGGCTCGGGATGAGGCTATATCTAAGCTGGAAGCTGTGGCTTTAGCCTGCTGATGATGATGTCAGCCGGCAAGGCAGCGGACAGCAGTCGATAATCATAAATATCCAACAGAAGATGCTCGTAGAGCGACCCTCGCTGGCTCGTTAAGTGTTTGGCTTTATGGCCAAAATGGGCAGAGAGAAGCGAGCGGCCGGAGGAGGCTTGGACTTTAATTAGCGCCTGGCCTGACAATTAAATAATATTTTTTCGCCAACTCACAGCTCTCACTCTGCTGCTCTCACTCTCTACGTCTCTTTCTTTGCGTCTCTTTCTTTTCCACGCTTCCACTCTTCCACTCTTTCGCTATATATCTGTTTATCTGTGATGCCGCCGACTTGTTAACTCGCTGCCTGACAGTCTGCCAACAAGTTTTAATTACAAGCCAAACGACACAGCGACACAAAAAAAGAAAAGCGAGAAAAAAAGACAAGTAGGAAAGGCTGTGGGCAGCCATAAAGCCCACGAATTGGGTATACCCTGTGGATAAATAGCTCAAATATCCAACAACTTTTCATGGCTGCCACAGCTCTGGCCATGTGTTATCGAATAGTCGTGGAAAGTTAGTTTTTGATAGTCGTTGGACTGTTTTTAATGGCTCCTCCTGGACCGCTGCAGCTCCTGCAGCTTGATGTTTTTTATTTTTTTTGTTGTTCCTTTGTTTTTATGACAGTATGCAAATATTTGTTCAACACATTTTATGGTCTGTGATTGTGATCCGAGTCTCTGCTGTTTGGTAGTCGGTTGTATAAAGCTTTTGTTTAGCTTTTATGGCAGCCACCCTACCAGTCTCTTCCTTCCTCCACTCCATCTTCATTGGCGATGACACATTTCTGATTCGTTGCTAATTTGAATTTGAAAATGAATCGAGCGACAGCCCTTTGCGAGTGTTTAGTTATGCATTCCGAAACATATTTATGACAGTTTGGATTCGCTTTGATTTGAGGCGCTGATTGTGCGCTCCCTGACATATTTGACTTGCAATTTGTCAATAAAACATTTTGTCGCCACTTGATTCGATCTCTGACGAAGGTCGTTTCTATTAGCCGGAAGGGTCTATAAAATCACGGACACGAGCTGACCTTCCGCATTGCGATATGGGTTGGGGTTTCGATAGATTCGGAGTCCATTCTGAGGCCGGAACCCAATTCAAAGTTTGTTCATAGAGAGAGAGAGAGAGACCGAGGGTAGCAGCTTCAAACACTCGAAATATATGCAGACAGAGCCACACACGGCTGCTCCTGTGGAGTCTGGGCAGTAAGCGATATCCCAGAGACAGATACTTTATGGTGTACGGGTACGTGCCAAACAAGACTCAAACGAGATGCAGGAGCAGGAGGGGAGGTGCAGCAGCCATCATCATTCCACTGACCTATCCAGTTATTGAAATGCAAAAGCCACAACGGAAAACTGCAGTAGCCGGGCAGAAGGAAGTTGGTAAGTTTTTCCTCCGTGGCATGCAACGAGCCGACATGGCTTGGACCCATGTGTGTGCATGACTTGGGAGACCCAGACCCAGACCCAGACCCAAACCAAGAGCCGCGCGAATGGGAACGGGACTGGCAGATGCAACTGGAGCTGGACCCAGGGACCAGTACCCAAGGATTGGATTTCTAATGTGCATTCGTTGTCTGCCGTCAATCCATTAAAAATTGTACCAACAACAAATGTGGCACGTACGGTTTTATTTCAACCGCTTCCTCGAGTCTCGCCGGGGTCTTGCTCTTGGCAGAGAGCGCACAGATAACATTTGTATTTAAAAGACACTTTACGGATTGCTTTTGAATGCAGCGCCGAACCGGTTACAGTCTTGCCACAGTCTGTCTGTCTAGATGTGTGTGTTGTGTGTGCAACCATTTGTAGTTTATCGGAGGCAAATCTTGAAGTACCGCCCGGCTACAAGCCGCATGTCAAAATGTCAATTTTTGTTTCGGTTCTCTCTTATTTTTTTTCGTCTGTGTGGCACGTCCTCTGCTTGTGGCATGCAAAACTGCCACATGTTGCGTAAACTAGTTTCGTGAGTCGTGAGATATATCACCTGAGAGGCAACCTCCCTGCCTCCCCTCCTGCTGCCGCCGCCGCTATTGCACTTGCAACATTTTGTTGTACATTTTTGAGGTGATCTCAGGCATTCAGGCGCTGTCATGTCCTCACTTCTCTCTCTGCCTCTGAGATCGGGCTGCAAACATGTTGCAAAACAACCGTTTGCGGACAGCTGAGATCCCATTAGATGCCTGGCAATTGGATTGGCATAAGTTTCGGTCCGAATATTCTTACTTACCCTTCTCTAAGCAGCAGATATTTGCAAACTGTAAAGAGATTAAAGCAAAGACGGAGAGAAGAAGCGTTAGACAAGTGTTCTTGAAATATATTTTGTATCCTGAATAAATCCAAGACATTATCTAAGCTATTTCCAATTGGTTCCTCGCTGAATCTTCTAGGAACTCCCTTAGAGTCCCACCCAAGTGAAGTTTTCAAGCACGTTTCAGTGTACGCCAATCCGTTGATGATTCTGTTGATTGCCCCACCAGACAGGTGTTGCAGACGGTGGGGCAGTGGCAGTGGAAGTTACTTTATAGCCCAATGCCGTGTGCCCTGTGCCCGTTCGGAATTTTCTGAGGCAATTCTGGCGCATTAATTCAAAGTTTATTGCGTTCGTTTCTGCGCTGTTTTGTTGTTTTACTTTTTGCCAGGGCATAATTAAGCACACTTTTTAAATATTTGAACCTATGTGGCGGCATCGTTAAAAGAACTGGAGTACCGCCAGAGTCGTAAAGGCAGAAGACCCAAGACCACCCAAGACGCTGGGAAAGCAACTTTCTGCGTGGGCTGTGCCTGTGCCTGTGCGTGTGCCAAATGGAAAAAAGGTCAACCATTTTATAGCCATTTTCCCGCTTAGCTTTCTCTAGGTGTTAAATAATAAATACGTCAAGAAATCGCTCGGCGGCTCTCTGTCGATAAAAGCGGGCGGCTCATGGGGCACCTAAATTGCGTGTTTTGACTTATCGCGTCTCTCACAGTTCATGTGGCATGCAACCCCACCATCTCCCAGCATGATGACATTTTAATGGCTAAGCCTCAAGCCCAAGAAGAAACAGAACAGGAACGAAAAGGCAATAAGAATATTTTCTCTCCTTTAACGAGCAATCATAAAAAATACATTCACATTTGAAACATTGAGCAAGGCTGCAACACTCTTTCTGCCACTCACCATTAATAATTGCTTCGCTGCGGAACCTTCTCTGTTATCGAACTAGTTCAGAGTTCGCAGCTTTAAGGATCCAATCTGTAGGAAACCAATTAAGTTCCAAACAGAGCCGTTTTCCTACTGCCGACTACGGACCAAAGTAATTTAATTAGTTCTGGTGCCCAGGCAGGGAAAGGTGCCTCAAACATTCCTTTCTGTTTCTGTTTCTGGGTCTGGGTCTGGGTCTGGGGGGAGGGTTCGCCTTTGGTTAGTTAGACGCGCCAAATGAAATCAGACTTGAAGCGGGACAATGTTTAAGAATGCCAAACACACACACACACACACACAGGCACGCACAAAAGGTGCCAGAAATGTGTGTAGACAAACAAAACGTGCTCCATCTTGGAGAAGTTTCTTCAAGCTTAAATATTAGGAATGTTTTTGTCAGTCCCTTTGCCTTTTTGTGGCCCTGTCCCATCACTTTTGCTTATGTCTCACACCTTCCACCTTAGGGGCTGCCCCATGAGGCAGTGGCAAAAGTTTCATTTTGTTTTGACTCACACATGCTGCCAGAGGGAGATAGCGAGAGAGAGAACGAGAGAGAGAGTGTGAGACACACAATTTGCGACAATTTCTAGGGCGTCGTACAGTCCGTGCCCTTGCCGTTGTTGTCCCGTCTTGTAGGTGACTTTGCGACTGTGCGGCATATAAATAAATATTATATTACCCTCACGCTGGCTACAAGGGGGGAGCGGAGGAGAGTGTAGCAAAGGAAAGCAAAGGAAACCTTAGACCCAAGACACATTCTACCTTCCATATCTCACGCTCTTCTTGCTCGCTCCCCTGACTCGACTGCTGAGTTGTTAATTAAATATTTATTCTGCTTATTTGCAAAATGAATAATTTCAGCATTTTATTTCACATGGCGCAATGTCTCAAGCAACGCGCTTTGTGTGTCTCAGAGAATGTCTCTTCTGGTTTCTCGTGTAACCTTTTAGCACATTTATGCCTGACTCCACTTAAAGCCTTTGTCGCTTGCCTGTGTTCAGCTTTAATTGTTTAGACTAACCGAAAAGGCCCCAGGTTGCGGTGTATTACATCACTCGAATTCTCTCACAGCCTTCCCGTGGCAGCTACAAATTTGCATTCCAACTTTCAGCTGTATTTATTTACTTATTTAAAGCATTTGGTTACGCTTCACATTTACGTGTTGAAAACAGCGAAACTTGTTTTGCAAAATGACATTCAAAAGCGCCTGTTAATGACTTCATTCTTCTGCTTCTACTGCTGTAGCTGCTGTAGCTGCTGTCTGCTTCTGGCCAGTCAAGGTGACTCAAATGCCTAACAAATACGAGTGTTTTCTATCTGAATAGTAGTCGTTAGACGAGGCTCTCCGTACTCCTTCCAAAGAGAACTTTTTGCATAATTGATTAATAATTTTGTTTGCAGGTGTTTGCTCCGCCCTTCAGGGAGACAATAATTAAATATTCAAATGAACTACTGTCCGCCCTAACCCATTAATTAGCTCCAAGTCCAGTAAACATTTAATAGATAAACGTTACAGAAAGCCTAATGAAAAGCAAATACTTTTATCTGTCTCCCTTTAAAGAGGGTTCAATCACAGACACCCCAAAGAAAAAGTCGAGGGGACCGAATCGGATCGGATCTCTATCTAATAATTTTGATATTGGTGCTTCGCTGATTTGTTGTTCATTTGTTTGTTTGGTTCTTTTGGTTGTTTGTTTGTTGATTTTCTGTTTGCTTGCATCGACAATATTATTTAGGTTAAGCCAACAAGCAACAAAAACTGCACCGAGACTGAGACTACAATGAAATTGCATTCACATAGTGGCTCCTGCCATATTCTTTAATTTCCCAAAAATTAACCCAAAAACTTCTCAGTTCTTTTACATTTTCTGCGGCCCCTCTCCACGTGAACTTATTAAGCTTGTGTGAACACTTATAAGCTCATAAAATACTCCCTCAAACACCTGACTAATCCAATAAGTTCCTGTTACACTCTGGGAGGCCAAAACTTTTGGGCCAAGACCAAAACTTGAACACGAAACAAGTTACTACTCGTAGCTTAGGAACATGTCAAAGGGAACCAGAATTAACTGGGTAAACAGAACACAACACAACAGAATATTTGCCTAATTAACTGGCAAAAAGTTTCCAGGACAAAGAAGGCGCAAGGAGCATATTCTTGGCATGGGAACCCTTTTAGGCCAGAGACGCGGCCACACGCCGTATGCGCAATTAACATTTATGGCAATTAATTATATGATTATGCATACGCCGTGTGGTACACTGTCAGACATTAGCATAAGCAGTGCCAACACCGCACACCGCACACCGCACACCGCCCTAATGAAGGCATCACAGGCGACGTTCTTCCCGAGCACTTTGCTCCCCCTCTTAGCCCAGGCCATAATTATGGGTAATCAAAGCGTTTTATTTGATGCTCCAACTAATGATCTTTTTGTGTGAAACTTTTAGACGGGCCAGACAGACTGACTGCCAAGGTCGCAAAACTTAAACGAGCCACTCGAAGAGTCCAATTAATCGTTGTATCGGCATGGAGCCATCAACTCTGATTAACCGAGTGGCCAAAAATACTCGGAGACCCGCGCCTTCGACCAATCTCGTTAATTGATATGCAAAATCAAATGGCCACTAAACAGTGTGGTGTGAACCAAAGAATTAGCCAAAATTGCTGCAGACACCAGGCGAAGGTTCTGTCCGTTCGTTGAACTTGGCAGAGTTTGGGTGGGTCACAAGGTGCAGGGAGAGTTTTCCCAAGGAAAAATCAATAAAAGTAGTCACAAATAAATCGTAAATATATTTTAAATATTTTTTAACTATAAATTGTATGCAAAAATAACCCCAGAAGTACTAGAAATATTTTCAATTTGCCAAGAAATCATCAAATGATCTTCAGTTAGTTTTCTCAAAGAATTCCCCAAGGGCTCCCGGAATTTTCTTGCTCTATTCACTTCCCAGTGGCCATACAAAAAGTGACAGCAAATTCGTTTTCATTATCACGTACTCAAATACATATATTTTCCCCATTTCCAACAATTTGTTTTGACATATTTTTGCTCGACTAGAGGCAAAGAAAAGAGAGAGAGAGAGAGAGAGAGAGAGAAAAAGACTTTCAGACAGAGGGCAGACTTGGGGGCACTCGACGGAAGCTAAATCATTTCGTAGAGAATACTTTTACAGATTGCGGTTTGTTTGGGGTATCTCTGCTCCTCTTGCTGGCCTCTTGTCTCTGAGACTTGCTGATAAAACAAATTTTAAGGCTCTCCCTCTCTCCCCACTTTGGGGCAAGTATCAATAAACCCATAAATTTAAAACAGCACGCCACAAAATATGTATATTCTCTCCCTCTCCCTCTCCCTCTTGCTCTCTCTCCCTTGCTCTTAATAAATGTGGAATATAAGTTCAAATAAATTTGTTGTTGTCAGCCTTTATTTATGTTCGTTCCGAGTTTTTTGTTCGTATTTTGTGGGCGTCCCACAACATCATCTATCTGTCTATCTATCCGTTCATCTATTGCACGAGCATGTGTCTGTGTATCTGCTGACTGTGTATCTGTGTGTGTGTTTTCTTGTAACTAATTTTTTGCATATTTTGACATAAATTGTACGCCTCTGTCCGCCAGCCTTGATGCCGATTATATGGATCATGTTATGTTTTGCTGCCAGTTTTTGAAGCCATTAAACGGTCCAACATTATTTTAATGAATTTTTATTGCCGGTCGTGTCGTGGCAGTTCGTGGATGTATTACTGTCCAAAGTGTTTACATTTGCTGTCCGTGAAAATGATGGGAAACATGCAAAATCAGTCAAAAATTAGTTGCTAAACAATGAGCTCATTTATCAATTTTAGAAGCAGAGTCTTTGGCATTTTTCCAAATGAGCTTCACTCATTTCAAGAGTCAATCCCACAACAACGAAAGTTCATTTTTTCTCGAGTCTTATCCAATCAATAAATTATTTCTACATTATGTGCCCCACACCCCTTTACCGATCGCCGCAGAACAGTAAGCCAGGGCCTCTAGGGGGTGTCTTTGTGGCTCACCACAAATATTGACCAACATTCAGGGCGGACCATAAATAAGCAAACAGTTCATTAGCTTCAGAGCTCCAGTTCCATATGGCAGCCGCTTGCACAACACCAGAATGCAGCAGTCGGCTACAGAGAAATCGAAGCCAAAGCACAGTCACAGAACCAGTCACACCTTCCGTCCATTTGTGGCTGCCCTATCGAGTCATAGAACAGTAACTATATCTTATCGCTGGCGCCTTATCGCTCTAAGGTAAACAAAAGATAAGCACAGCAGACCCGGAGAACACGAGAACACGGAGAACACAGAGAACTCATTTGCCAAATGACGCATATGATTCCACCTCTCTTTATGGTGGAAGAAAAAAGATTATAGAGCAATAGGAAATGGAAAATGGAAATGAAAATGAAAATGAAAATGAAAATTCCATTTTATGGGCCTCATCAAATGGGCTAAACTAAAACACACATAAACATTGACAGACAGATAGGAAAATAAAATGGAAACTGGGTCAAAATGACTGGGAAATCATTTGGTGATTTTTGGCTAATTAAATGGACAGACCTATCTCTCAATTCCTCCATCCTTTAATGGGATTTATCTGCTACTCCCTCAACAGTTCCCAGAGCAAACATATGCCGCGCAACAGCTTTCAAATCTCTCTCTTGGAAATTCTCTGGCGATTTTTAATTGCCGAAACGTGAGCGAAATTCTCAAAACGAGAAATCGAAAAAGAACATCCGCCCCAATGGAAATTATGCTAATTAAATTTATGATTGAGCAGATAGTTATGGCCGAGGCAGGCAGATAATGCCTATATAATGGACCTCTGCCCGCCTCTGACTCTGTTCATTTGCAGTTTGTTGTTGATTTAATTGCAGAATATGTAGAGATATTTATTTTTTAATGGACTTGCGCCCTGGCCGAGGCCCGGTTATTAAAATAGAAATTACTTTGACTTTGGCTTTGTTTCTATGCCACACAGCAAATTGTAGCATAGTTGTTGCTGTTGTTGTTGTATAAAATGATTCGATTCAAGCTTAATGGTGGTAATCGAGGGGTTGCTTTTGGAATTGTAATTTGGGCACTACGTATTCCTATTAGAGGTATTTCGCATAAATGTCAAGGCAGCAAGCATTTTGAATTGAGAGTTAATGCTGCGAGCTGGCAGATATGATGATTGTGATGATGATGATAGGTTTGGGGAAGATACCATTTAATCTGCACATTTTTGGCTGTATTTCCACATAGGTCAAGTGTGCCCGCACGACTTCAGTTTCAGTTTCCCCACTAGACTGATGTCCAAAGGTTCTCCCATTTATGTTTGTTTTCTGCTCATAGATTTTCCACACACTAGGAATTCCACTCCATTTCATTTTAATTAAATTTTCCATGCTCCGATTTTAGTTTCCCCAAACCCATTACACAACCCCTACAACATTTTGCCCAATCCTTGCACAACATTTTCTAATCGCATAAAACCGAAAGAAATCTCCAAAATTTCGTCATACGAATGATTGTTTGTTTATGTTTATCAGGCAAGGCGGCATCAATAATTACAGCATCAAAAGAATCAGAATCGAAGATATATACAGGAATAAACAGAGCAAAGAGAGAGCGAGTGATGTGTGGAAAAACTGAGACAGGGGCACGCCACATGCTTTTTAACCTTGATTAAGTTGACGTTCTAATGGTGCTGCTAATGGTGGCAATGATGTTCCTAATGATGCCGCCGATGATGTAGATGTTGATGCTGCCCCCAGTGGCAGTGGCAGCCGCAACATCATTAACAACATAATCAACAACAGCAGCAACAACAGAAAACTTCTTGGGCATTTTTTGTTTTTAATTGCCGCCTGGCACTTAGCTAATGCAATTTATATTACATCTTCAGACATCTTATGCTGGTGCTACCTCTAAGAGCCCTAAGTAGCTGAAAGTAGCAATAACATGGTCCATATATCGACTAGAGGATACCTCGCACCATACCTCATACAACAAATTTGCAGCGCAGGAATTTTCTACCTTTGCTCATATTTAATGGATAAAAGTCATGAATAGAGACCGCATATACCTTCCTCATTTACAAATCCAGGGTACAAGAGCAACAAAAAACCAGCAGCAAAGTGCAGCATCCACAACCAAAGCATGCTCGTAAAAAATAAAAGGAGTAGGAGGTGTGAGAAGGTGGAAATAGATAGAGGAAGAGAGGAAGAGAGAGAGTGCGTGGAGTAGAAGTAAACTTTTGTTTATATTTACCTAACATTGTACTTGAAAGATATTTTGGTGTCTTTCTGCGGCTCACCTCCCCCTCGTGTCTCTTTCTAACTCTGTTTTGGCTCTCTCTTCGTTGTTGTTTGTTTATCTAATGGCTAAAAAATATTTAAGCTGTAAAATGTGTGGCCATAAGATGGCTAAAAGCTGCTGTTGCCTCTTCAGACTCGAGTCTTCTCTGGAGTTTTTCGTTATTTGGAAAAGTCATAAATACTTTTTAGAGCCCCTGCCCATGGTCCAAGGAAAGCCCAAAGACAGAGAGAGAGAGAGAGAGAGGGAGAGAAAAGGTTCAGTTAGAGACACATCCAAAACAGATAAAGTCGCGCATAAAAAAGTTGCTATATTTTCAATTTATGTAAAAGACAAAGACCGAGAGAGAGAGAAACCTCCCCCCACCCACCTGCCTAACAGCTTTTGCTATTTTAAATGTTTTTTTCTGTTGGTAATTAAAAAGTTTTCTGTTTCAGCTCCCCCTACCCTTCACTCAGCCCTCTCTGCCCCGCCTGTCTGCTGGCTTGGATTAGCTAATGCAGGTGGAAAATTCTCAAAAGTGGCCTTGCCTAGTGGGTGGCGTTGGTTGGAAGGGGGATGGGTGCTGAAGAGGCACCTGGGGAATACGATAACAGCAGTACCAGAAAAAGCTTTAAGCCGTTACTGCTGCAATGAGTGGCAGAGAGAGATATCCCCCTCCAGGGTTTATTTTAAGATTTAGTTTCGAGGTTACTCCGAGGATTTCGGATGAGATAATGAAGGTCACAGCGCGATAAAGAACAGAAGTTACAAACGGAAACGAAGATGGTCATTGGGTGATAAGTCACCATGGAAATAAATCCCTTTGCACACTAAGAACACTGCTGTAAAACATAAATGGAAAAAGTGGAATTCTGAATTTAATTCTATACAATTAAAGCAAAAATATAATCTCAGATTTCCCCATAGTAATATTTATAACCCTTTAACATATACAAACATTTCTGCTTATTATGGGCTTCTACTGAAATTTCATTCCAAACTTCCATCTACTATGCGCATTCTTGGAACTTATCCTCACAACTCCGCCACGAATCCGACTCCCCGACTGATGCCAGCTCACGTCTTGGCCATTCCCGTTCCCGTTGGCAGCTTCTCATCCAAACATTCCTCAAAAGTGTCAACGAGAAAAGCCTACAACACGGGCAGGACGGACCGCACAGCCGCCTCAGGCGCGAGGCCTCACCTCTTTCATTCATAAAGATTCACATCTCCATCGAGGGAGCAGTGTGGATGGGGGGCGAAACACGACAAGTTCTTGGAATGGCACAGCACAGCACAAACGTTTCTCGCTCGAAAACTTCTTAAGCTACGAGGAGTGTTTCGCTCTAACGAAACCTGTTCTCGGGAATGGAACCCAAATGGACCCCGGACCCAGAGCACACATAATTAATGATTTCACAAATATTTCACAACGAAAACTCATAAAGCTCATTGATTGATCTGCAAAGCAAAGAGTTTTCCCGTGACTTTAAACGTGAGGGATCTTAAAGCTAGTCAAAACTTACGTCTCTGAAAATATTGGCAATATCTGGCCGGATCGAGGGGGAGCTATAGTACTAGTACTACCTCCTGCTGGCACGCACAGTAATCAAACAAAAATAGACGACACACAGCAATAATAATTTTTGTGGTATGTTTTCTATGGGAAATGCTCGCGGGTGCAAATCATTCATAAAGCGGGGGAAAACATTTCATTAATTTTTTGCACACACGCACGCGGCAGACCGCGGACCGGACCAGACCGCTGACTATTGTGGACGACTGTGGTGGCGCCCCGCCCCGAAAACAAGTTCCTCTCTCGCCACACCACAGCAATGTTACACCAACGGGTTAGGAGTTGGAAGGGTGAGAGGCACAGAATTTGCACGCGCGCGAATTGTGGTTTTTGGCTATGCTCTGCACTGCTCTGTCTTCTGTTTTTTGGTACACACTGTTCCGTTCCGACACCACTCACGGCAAAATTTCAAACACGAATGCGGATAATAACGGATCCGACGAACGCAGCGGCCAGCTGTCGGCTGTTGTGTTTGTGTGCTCGTGCTCTCGCTGTGTGAGTGGGGGGAGAGAGAGCAAACATGCTAAAACAGAGCGCAATCGAAAGAGGGAGAGCGACTGCGAGAGCGTCAGATAAATAAGCTACGAAAGCAGCGCTGAGTGCTGCTCGAATTGGACTCTTATTGAGTCGGATTCCTCTGATAGGCATTGCACGGATTGGTTTGAAACTCGACTAAGTTGTCCGGGAATTGGCACTGCACTGGGACACAGGTGTGCTGATTGTTGGGATTCCTTAAAAGATCAGTCGGTAAAGATTTGTACATAATTTTGCAATATATGTATGCCTTCTTTGTGCTAATTATTATGCCACTATGGAAACCACAATCACTCATAAATTGTGTTGTAAGCGACGGAAAACTTACAGAATTGTTTGATGTTTTGTTAAATATAAAAAAATAATAATATTTCCTATTAGCTGTTCCGATAACTACTCGATTTTAATTGGGTTTGCTGTCAATAAGAACCAAACTGCATGTATCAGCTCCAAGACTTCCTATCAGAATCGTTAGCAAAGTAAAACAAAGACAAAAAAGCAAACGCACAAAAGTAAATCGGTATATTTTGGGGAGCGGTCCCAGAAGCAACGCCGAAAATGCACAAAAGTGCAATAGGAAAAGATAAACAGAGAGGAAAAGCACAAAACGTGAGAGAGTGCCAGAGAGAGACAAAGCAAGAGAGCGAGCTGACAGAGAGCGAGCAAACGTGTTTTTTCCACTCAGATAAAAATTCGAGCTAGAACTGCGCTCTCCCGCTCTCTCTCTCTGTCTATTGCTTAGCTAGTTCCACTTAACGCGGCCAGATGGCGCTGCTGTGACGTGAACATAATAAATGCATCGGAGTCGTAGTCGAGGCTGATGGTTTTCTGGGAGAGGGGAAAGATTGTGTGTAGTGGGGAGGGAGGGTATTCCAACTGCGGACTGCATTCTTGGAAATGTTGTTTGCAAAAAGCGTCGCCGGTTTGCCGGTTGCTGCCACAAATGCCGCGTAATCACTTTTTGTGCCATGTCGTCGGCAGTCGGCAGTCGATTCGCAGTAGCAGTCGCAGTCGCTGTCGCTGCCTCCGCCATCGACGTCTCCGGAAGTTGCAACACGTCTACGCATATGCCGCCCATAAGCGAACCTGCCACACCCAAACAATTGCAAATTTCAGCCTAACCAAAACCATCCACCCGCTTACCCATTGCAAAATTTTAGAAGAAAAGGAAGCAAAAGAAAGCGGGCTGGAAAGCCGAAGGTTTGCATACCCTTGGAAAACCATCGTCAATGGCATCATATTAGGAATTTGGTACAGTTGGAGAGGACTGTAAAAGCTTCTTAGGAAGGTTATAAATATTCCAAGTCTGATTTCTATAGAGTTTTGAATTAAAAAAAAAGGGAGGACGAAAAGCGGAGCATGCAAAAGCAGCAAACATCCAACATAAATCAGAATCGCTTCGGCAAGAGTATTTTACAAAGCAGAAGGAGACTTGAAAACCTTTTGGTGGAGTTGAGTTATTGCTCGGGTGGTGCCTGGTTCCACCATTGTTCCATGAGTGTCCCCCCCCAGAAACCCCCACTCAAAGCACACACTCTTTTTTTGTGAACATGTGTGAACAACTGCAGTCTGCAGATGCGGGTGTGGGGCCTGGTGGAAAGCCACCCCCAAAATGGTCGACTTCCTACCCTCAGGGCTGCGATTAATCATGGAAATTCTCACAGAAAATATCCATTAGATACGAATTAAGACATAATTGAGAGTGCAGGGCAGGAATCGTACACGTTTCGAGTGCAGGAACAGAAACAGGAACAGGAGTTGCCACTGGGGGGATGCTGCTTGCACCCCGTGTGTGTGCCTCAGGGTATGTGCTGCAGCATAAACGCTGCCTCAAGTGTCGGGGACATATTTATTATCCATGTTCGGGCACAAAAAAGTATATGCCTCACGGCTCAAGAATTAAGCAGGCCATTGTTTTCAGGTTTTGCAGGAGTTATTAGAAAGGCTTTGGCCTTAATTGCAGTTTGAGTGGCACTGGAACAGCTCAGAAGGCTTCAAAACCCCCATAGAAATTGTACTGAGTGTCTCTTAGATATTACTGATATTACAAGAATATTATTAAAATGGATAACATAGTAAAAACAAGTGGTTCCATATACCAATCAAGTAGTCGGGGGTTAAATAAAAACACAGTGGAGTTAAATCCAATTCTATCATAAATTAAATAATTTTAAAACACTTAAAATGAAAATTATACTAAATTTTAAAGGAAATAAATTGAATCACAGTATGAAAATATGAAATTCAACCAAAAAGTATATATTTATTTTATCCATAATTTAAATTTTAATGCATTTTCTTCTTATCTAACTTTAAACACTAAAATACTCGCTAAAATTTTTCTTTCTGAGCATTGGACATGTGTAATTCGACAGAGTCTGATTAATGTGTAATGTGGACTTAACCCAAAGCGACACCCAAAACTGCCCCTGGCCCCTGCACTGTCACTGCCACCTGTTGGAATGCACTTTGAGAGCCCTCGCTGCGATCCGCCCCCACCCAACAAATACTGGCTGCCAATTTGTCGTTACACGCGACAGCTACAAGAATTTTGTAAATGCCAAAAGCAAGAGAAAAAGAAACTGAATATAGAAATAAGGGGGAAAAAACAAGAAAAACAAATTGTTTTGTGCAGTAGATATTTTGCCATGCACAAGAAAATGCCTGAACCGAGCCGAACAAGTGTTATATGACAGGCCTCTCCTCTGTCTGTCAGACATCCAACTGTGATTTTGTTTTTTTTTTCTAGGCTCTTTTTTTTGTTAAATTTGTTGGATACAAACAGCTTCGTTGTTGCCCGAATGTAATGTGGAATGTAAGTTTGTATGTTAATTTGATTTCGGTGTCAAATGAGTTTTGAGGTCTTTTTTTTGTTGTTTTTATGGCCTGCACTTGGGCTGCGCTTTTGTAGCCGAGAGGCCATCGAGAGTCGAGTTCCATTGTGGCTGTGGTAATTGCGTGTTCAGGTCCGCCTGCAGCCATTTGATCCCCTCCCTCTCGGTGTCAATCTGTTTGGTGGGGTTTCGCCTTTGATTGTGCGCACTTATGTCTTTATTGACAACACCGCCCCATACTCATAATATATAAATAATTTATTACTCTCAGACATTGAGCAATTTGTAAATGGCCAAAAGAAACAAAACCCAAACCAAACCTCATAGATACGAGTACTTGTGCACACTCGTATCGGTTGGACATGTACTTCCATTCGCTTTGCCACGTCTCTCTGTCTGTTCTGTTTTGTGGCTGATTTGCATTTGATCAAGTGCAATTGAGGTAAACGAAACGAAATGAAATGAAATGAAATGAAATGCTGGCAAAAAAATAGAGCTCAAAGCTCGTTCAAGGACTCTCTCGGGCAAGTGATGTACTGCCATGAGTGCGCATTTAATTGAGTTCGTTTTTGTGGACAAGTAAATCCTTTACGATTGATGTAAATAAAACTACACATTGGACAAACCAATTCAAATTTATGAATAAAATATTTGCGAAATTGCTTTAAGCTTTGCAAACATTTTCTGACTAACTGATGCTCCATCAATTCCTCATCCATTATAAAATGCTCGACACCCACCACTCACCTTCAATTGACCTCTTTCCCTGTGAATCCCCTCCTAAGATCTAGTCTAATCCCTCTAATCCCCAACCAAATCTTCTGCTCCACATCTCACCTCAGCTCAACTCAAACTAGTTTTCTGCATAGCATAATCCATTATTTTCCAGCGGACAGGCCCAAAACAAAGTCATTTATTATGCCCTGGCCCGGGCTATAGAAAAAAATTTGTCACTATTCTGCACTTGTTCGGGTTTTGTTGTTGTTTTGTTGTGCTCTGCTTATCAGGCCAGAACCGAACGAGAGCCGAGAACGTCGGTTTGGGGCCATAATTAATTTGGCCAAGCACAACGACGAGGCTGCACACAAACCAGCAAACAAACGAACCAAACAAACAGCAAACAATGGCAAACAAATTGATTAATGACAGCGTATTAAACAATAATCGAGATAGGCCTCCGGTCCGATCAGGGAGGAGCCGTGGAGGAGCCGTGGAGGAGCCGTGGAGGAGCCGTGTAACCCATCGAAATGTTGTTCGCCCACGCAGAAAACGGAACTTTTTTTCCCGCCACACGCAGCAGCCACAGCAGCAGCAGCAGCAGCAGCGAAAAAAAAAGAATGTTTTTATCAACGTTTGTTGTTGTTCCTGCTGTTGGTTGGCTAAAAACAATTCATTTAAATAATATCTGTACCACTTTGCTGGCCAACAACAGGAGGAAACAAATCATTTTTCATATCCTTCGTGTGCATCTCTGTTGCTGTCGCTGTATCCCCGAGCTGGCAAATTAATAATGTGTAATTAATATTTTTGGGCTTCGAGCAGGGATTGTGGGTTCTATATGTGACCGGCGTGTACGTCCAATCCTCCTGCATTGCAGGTCCGAAAATTAAGTACGAATAAAATGGGCAAACGGCAAAAGGTTTTTGTTTGTTTTACATTTTATTTGCAGATTCAGGCTTAGATCTTCTCCAGCCAAAAAGCCAAAATCAAAACTTCGAGTGGTAATCCTTCAATCCAATCCCATGGAATCCCTTCCGTTCCGAGTCACAATTCTCAGCCTAACTGCAACTGTCAACTGGTAAACTATTTAAGGGTATTAAACCCTGACAGAGGTGCGCACTGGCCAAAACTATTTCCCTTTCAGCGTAAAACCGAACATAACATAACGAAACATAACGTAACGCAACGCTTAACGTAATAGCCTTTCATGTTTGCTTAGTAACCCACATCAATTCTAATCGCCTGAAGCCACCAGCACGACCCCACCACCCCGCCGCCACGACCCCACCAAGCGATGGTCCAACACTCACCAGAGCCATCTCACTCCCCCACACACAAC